ATATAGACATGTTACTTCATGGTTTGTAGTAGTTACTGATAACTCTTCGTTTTTTCTAACCAACTATCTCATTCAATGGATTGTTCTGCTCTGACTGTGCTTACATTCCATCTGTATTAGATAGAATTAGCAATTTTTTGTATCGTTAATTATAGTGTCACCTTCATGTTGAATAAGGAACCTTTTGTTGGGAAGGTCCCTTGCTTCTAACTCTGGAAGATTTGTCTGTGTCTGTTGCTCATTTTGTATGTGCTCGATGTTTGCTGAGTTGTTTTTTGTTGTTACTGTTGGTATCTTTTGCCATATTATAAATATGTATATTGTTATGTTACAGTTGAGTTATATTAGTATTATTATTACTATCAAATTTATTATGGCATTATTCTTTCATTAGCGTGACAACTCGGCGATTCCTCCCACTTTCTTGTTATTTTTCTAGTCATAGCTCTAGTCGATTTCATAGTCATCACCACCATTGGTTTAATGTTGTTCGTCGGCGCTCTCGTCAGTCGAGTCATCAAATCCGGACAAATCTACATCCTTGAGGTGTCCATGTATTAGAGCATATTCAAGCAGGGCAAGATGACAAAATACGTACTGGTCAGGCATCTGAATAGAAAAGGCGCGCTGCGCACGAATCGCTTCAACCGTCCCTCGAACGTTGATACGACTCTCCGATTCTAAACGCCGAATACATGTATCCAGAGTAATAAACGTCCCTAAAATAATCACACGTGAATAAAATGTAAAAATGTTCTATGACATTAATAAACAGCGATTGGCACCACACGTCATTATCAACAAACAAACAAAATAAATCCAACAACGGCAGCTGATTCCAGGAACTTAACGGAAAACTAGACATCAAGCAAAATTTTTCTTTTGGGATACTATAATCATACATCAACCACATCTTGCTACCAATAAATATGGCAATGGGTATGCACATCCAACCATGAAAATAAGGACGCGAGCGCTCAAATATTTTCCGTAGCACAATAGACGCGACAGTTGCGTTTTTATCAACCTACCAGTTCGTCCAATCCCAGCCGAACAGTGCACTACAATTGGCGGTCCCTGTGGAGCCAACGAGCTTGACCATAGAGAGTGATTTTCGAGATCACGAATGGTGTCGCGCTGCTTTTGAAGACACACATCACGAAAAGAGAGCATTGCAAATGCGCTTTCGGGAACTCCATAATCGGGCCACGATAGGAACTGCAAATGCCAGACAGTACGTGTCATTGCCCCAGAGTCGGTGTCATCACCATCCTCGGAAGAGTCCCGCAGCCTTAATTGTAACTCGGATACCTGCAACCATGCCACCGAAAATTGTAGTCGACTTGTCAATGATTTGTAGATGATGGTTTTGGATTTAATTTAAAGCAGATTCTTTGATTGATAATGTGCATGATACACGGATACGGGATCTGTATTTTATTAAGCTAGTCTCGTCATGTATCGAAATCCATGGAAGGAGTTCGCTCTGTGTGGGAAGATGACTGATAATATCAGCCAGATTTACCTGATAGTCCCCGGCAGCTTCTACGCCTTGGTTTGCTATGCGGAACTGGCCGTGTTCATGTTCTTCACCTTCAGCAGCTGGCCAATACTGGCCGCACTTCGTTCGCGACCTTTCGACACAACGAGTTGTCATGACTATTACGCCGCACTTTTCTTCCCAAACCATCTTCCAGAAATCACCGAATGTGCGCGGCAGCGGACCCTGCGTAGAAATGAAAGCCCTCGAACCGGCGTATCCGTCGACAAAGTTAGCATTGATATAGTCTGTTGATCCCATCAGTGCGGCTGAGTGAATCATGTCTTCATCAGTTTCCCCAGCTTCACCTTCACCCCCTTGTACGGCAGATTCACGGCAAACCACTGGTAAACGAACGCGCGAATGATCAAGACAGAGAACATCTGTGTAGCGATTCTTGCACTGATTCATCTTGTCGCGTGCTGCTTCAAACGTGCCTGCTGGTGGTCTTGATTTAATTTCAGCGTATTCTCGGCACAGACCTTTGCGACCTTTTTTCTGCAGATTAAGAATGAAGTCTTCCATGGAAAGGTCTCGTGACGGTTCGAGCGCAGGTGGGGTCTGTGCCTGAGCAGATGGTGGCGGAGGAACAATCCCTGCAGGCACATGTTGAACGTGCGGAACGCCACTCACCACCGATGTTGCACAGGTTCCACCGCCAACGCTAACACCATCAGTGCCTACTGGCGGTACAGGCGGCAGGGGTATTTCAGGAGGTGCTCCCATGGGCCAGCATCCACTGGTAGACCCTGTTACTGTAACAGTCGAGTTGGCACTGACGAGTGAGCTGTCATCGCCTTCCTCTTCCGGAGCTTCCTCCCGCTCCGGTGTCACCGTATAGTTCTGGCTGTGCGGCTCAGTTTTCTGATCTGTACCAACTTTAGTCGAATCATCGTTTCCGTTACTCTGTTGTCTATTACTTTCAATAGTTACTACGGATCTACGCAATTCTGCTTGACCATTCTGCATGGTGGGCTGCTGCTGATAGCAGTTTTCTCCACCGGCGATCGGTTTACTTGTGTTTTTACTATTGTGTAGATCTCCGATAGTACTTAACCTGTTACTTCTGACAGCGTTGACGGCTCCTAAGAGTTCGTCGCATGAATCACTGTTGCCAGCTTGTCCTTGTTTGTCCCGTTTACTAGCTAAGCAGTTGTTTTCGTCCATAAACGACGTTGAATCGTTCTTATCTCCTGTTCTCTGATCCGCAGTATCGTCTTCAACAGCATGATCGAGATCGATTAGATCTTGCTTATCTTCCAATTGCAATAGCATTAGTGAACTGCTGAGTTGCCGCAAACGTACAGTTGATAACTGCTGATTGTGAACCTGGTCATCAACAAGAGGGTAACAAGTAATAAGTGACTTCGGGTGATTGTCGGTGATATAAATTATGCTCGATTTCGTTGCCATAAGGATTATGAAGCAGTGTGGTAAGAGCTCAATCCATGGTGATTAGGTAAAATATAATATCGCGCTCGAAAACATGAATTAATAAAAAAAAAACGTCAACCATATGTATATTCGAGCAAAGCGTCACACGATCGCGTACCGGCAACAACATGTTGTACTCTTGTACCTTTAGGCAGTGCAATAACCAGGCATGATGATCATGTGGTGGTTGGGTACCGCCCAATTCGAGTGGAAGTGACGACGATGGAATGTGCTGCACGAGCTGAGCTTGACTCACGATCATCACCTACAGTAAAGTTAACGATATCATTAACAGAGGACGTTTATTAAAGTGCGTAAGGTACGTCTTGATGAGCACTTTATGACAACTTAATTTAATTAATTAAAATTTACCATAAACAGTAGTTTATAAACAAACACACAGTTTGGATTTGTGCCTAAAATTGGCACAGCTGGCAGCTTATTTAAGCCACTTACCCGATCCCTGAGCTTCTCACGGACGAAAAGTCTGAGAATTTTAAACGGAGCGCGGAACCAGAGGGGCGCACCCACTATGAGCACCTTCTTCAGCCGCGCCGGGTAAGCCCCCTTGAGCAGCTGCAGAATCTTCTGGCACAATTCATAGTCGAAATGCTCATATCTGTAAACACACAAAATGAATGTAAAACGAAACACCTGTTTATTTATATAGTCGTGTTATTTGTGATCTTTGTCCCAGCATTTCGTAAAGTATATTTTTACATTTTACATATAAACAATAGAAAGTGGATCCTTAGATAAAGATATCACAGGTATTAGTTGATATGTCATCATGTTATTCCTATATGTGTCCACCATGTACCTTGATCCGGCCATGTTGTAGACAAAAACAATGCCATCTCGCTGTGTGAGCGGATTCTCGAGGGCCACGTCGAGCTGGTACACCACACCCGCCAGCGTGGTTCGGTGCGTCGAGCTTGACGGACTGTGCCGACCTGCGGTGAACATGGTGATTGCCGCCCCCTAATTTCACAGCAACAACCGCCCACGCGGCGCCTATCGGTTAGTCGATTATCCGTCAATTGGCAATAATTTAAAATAAGGAAACAAAAAAAATTTAATTCTAGCCGACTAGCAGATGCTTTGCTTGAAAGCGAAAACCTTAATACTTGCAGTTAAGTTGGGTTAATGAAAAAAATACAAGGATTCTAATCTGTGTGTTCTATCTACTTTAATACCTACTCTTCTATACTACTAGAAGTCTTGAAAAACGGGTTTGTTTAATTCAAAACGCCCCCTTAGATGCATAAACTAGGCTGATTTTTTTGGTTCGTTTCAGGTCCCTCATTAGAAGATTTCCGCCGAACATGGAGTTGATTGGACAGTTAGCTTCGCCCGTAGTAGAAAAGTTGGCTTCTTCCATAACGTAACGTTAATTCACTGCGATCACTGCATACGGTTACAGTTCGCCGATGACAACGACGTCGACCAAACTAGGTGTAACGCAAAATTAAGTGTATTCATATTAGAACGAGTCGAAAATATAACTGCGAAAGGACAAGAGGTTAGGTGAAGCATGATAAGTACAACGAGATAACTGTTGAGGCACACCATAGCTTAAGCTAGGCTTGGTGTAACATAAATGAATCAATTATTTGAATCAATCAACGGCAAAAGGTATGCAGGTAAATGTTTGCCGGTTTGTCCATCTCTCAAATACCTTTAGACTAAGTTCAATAAGTGCAAAAAAATGTTCGCCGATCCCAACACAATACACTTTACAACGGACTCCCTCAACAGTCTCAAGCTCTCCATACCCCTTTCTTCCATCCGAACATCCAGTTCATGCCGAACCTTAATCCCCTGAACCCTGTGGCGGAGTCGGACTGGTTGTTTACCAGTTGTACCCTAAACTTATTTCAACAATAATCGGAGCGGTAGGTTCCCAAACCGCATTGTATGTCCGAGAATTACGCTTTCACGACGCCGGAAGTCCTCTAAAGCGACATCAATTTTACGTACAGTCAAAGCCTGCACTTTCTTCTGCATAGAACTACGTAGCTAGGTAATGATCACTACCACACAATAACTAGCATTTGTAATCGATATACACTTTTTGTTACTCTAGGTAAATGTCAGATCCAATGAATTAATGTACAGCAAAATAGGCGCGAGGCGAAACCCCCGAGTCTTTCTATTCTATCAATCTGTACTACCGAAAACCTAAGTTCACAAGTATATGCGACCCCAAAAAACCATTCGGAGATCACGGACTTATTTTTGTGGATAGTAAGAGTTTCCTTTTAAGGAGGTCAGCATTGAAGATCGACTCGATTGGGTAAATATTTTTCTTGTAGAGAACAAAGTTTTTTCCCCATGGAACGTAATTAACTTAGTATGTCGTAAACCGGCACTACCAGTTTTTCATTTCCTACGTTTGAAAGTACCGCCGCAACATCCCTTAGAAACACCAAAGCGGCCGCTAGCATTGACCTCGCTGACATAACATCAAATATAGAAATTAATTTTTATTAGAATTGTGTTGAACGAACAACTGTGCTTAATGTGTGTTGCACAAACAAATCTTGTTAATATTTGTTGCAGGAAAACCGTGCTTAATCCATGTTGTGGAAGAGGTTACTGGGTTATAGCGAACGAAACTACGAAATATTTGGTCGCTGTTCAACGTTACCACTATCACAAATCCAGTTAGCCTTTACCTCTACACAAGGAAAATTAAATGTGTTCAGAGGAAAAGTAAGCACGGGCGGAACCCGCGGGTGGCGCTGTTATCTTGTTATCTATGATTATGTACTTAGCCAAAATGTACTTATGGGACTTTAATTAGAGTACTTGGTTCACCTCTTATCTACCCTCTAGAGCATCTTCCAACGGTTTCCAATAATCTCTCCATTAGTTTCTTCAATAGAAGCATTTGTCTTTTAATGAGCTGCTTACAAAAGCAGCGCACGAGACACTGCGAATAAATATAGCGTTGAAGGTGCAGATTTCCTCTAGTCGCTGCTCAAATACACGTTGCTGCATTCGTTTAAACTCCCATGTTGCCTCTTATGAGCGTCTGGCAATCGAAGCGAACTGCGTCAGCCTAACTCAGCCAGCTGCTCTTTGGGTGAACTAGTGCATAGATAGATAAATAGATGCAGTCCGTTACACTCCGAACAGCATTGGTAACAACTTGCCACAGGCTATGAGCTTGCGGTTTGAAAAATTACGATTTAGATATACTATGCTTATTACAACGAGGGCCTTCGGCTGGACCAAATAGCCATTAGTACTTAATTCAACCTTATTTGCTTCCGAATATTTGAACCTGTGTACTTAACAATAAAATTCCATAATAGCAGACAGCAGTTGTTGTACCCGAAATAACCCACCTCCGTTTTTTCTTACACTTACTATAGACGAGAAATTCCGTAAGGGCATTTTTCCAAAGATTAGACAGCGTTCCTTCAAATAAATTCGCACACGATCTAAATTGCCTTTGACTATCCACGAAAATCTGGTGTTGAGTATTATAACCTGCCACTAGAGCTAAGTGAAGAAGGTCAGGTATTGAACAACTTAAACTTTTAGTTTTAAAAACATTAATTTATCAAAAATGAAGAAAAGTAATGTAAGCAACTATCGACCAGTAGCTTAGAGTCCTCTTGAGGGTCTCATATTTGTATAATTATCTACTTTTTAATAGGGGAACAAACTTAAACTAGCTAAACGTTAGAAAGCGGAGCAGACACTCTATCAAAACTACCACATACTTTTTGACTTCTATTTTTTCAAAAGCTTTCAACCACGTAAGCACCGCTATTCCAGTTTTCACACTTTAATATTTATACGCTAACTCTTAATGTGTATATCAAACCCGCAGCTAGCTCAAATTCGGAAAATTTTGTTTTTTTTTTAAAAAGTTTTGCTAGGGATCCCTAACTTTTATATGTTTTTGTTAAACCTCACAAACGATTTACCGGAGGGTCGCGCAAACGAAATCTTATCTGGGTAACTTAAAATTATCCATACCAGTAAGAGCCCTATCTTTTACAATAACTCCTGTCCCTGGTTTGGAACTTCGCATGACTAAACTGGAAAGTAGTCATATTTGGACGTCTTATTATTAACAAGTCAATTCGTAAATTGGCATGCGAAATGCTTATTTTTTTTTAAATTTCTTGATCTCTTAATAATGACAAAACCCTCTTTGAGAAATGGCGTGCAACAGACTGCACAACATGCAAGGGGGTCAACTTGGTCTTTTATCAATAAATGAATACTCAATGCCCCCGATATTTTCAGGTTCAAAAGAGTATAAATAAACAGTACTCTAAATATGTTTTTCAACATTTAACAGTATTAACACCGTCGCCTTTTAATAATATATATGAATTGTAACTATGGTACTGCCGTAGCTATAATTTGAAAATTAAATATTTTCATCAGTTCCTTCTCATACCGCTCCAATTCGTTCATTGATGCGAATGTTTTTATGAGCATTTAACGTATCTGCACAATGGAAGCGTCCTGCTGAACGCATTGGTCAATAATGGCCACATACATTTGCCCTTATAACAACGACGTTTGCTGCTCAAGATCATCCTGCTCTAAACACTACTGTCGCTCCTCGTGTGTTTAGACGAAGGCAAACAACGTATATTTAACCCATTCCGATTAAAGCTATAGATGCGGGTACTAGAAAACTAAATTTGACAAACCAAGCGATTCTCTAGGGCCTATATATGAATGTTAGCGGTAAAGAGAGAGATATACCGCCACTAGGAGATTTAAAGGCGCCAAAGTCGCTCATTTAATTCGTTTAACAATAAGATAATTCTTAAAGTCTCTCGTCAGATACCAAAGCATGCATAACTTGCATGGTTAAAATCTCATACCTTACACTAAAGCAAAGAAACTTTTACCATGACTGCCAACATGCCCCGCACCGATTAAAGTAGGGGCTTCCTTGTGTAAGGTTACTTCAATCACATTCGAAAGTTGAGGCAAATATTGTTGAGCATCAACGGTTTACCTGCGCTTCTCGGTAAATAGTCACAGACAATAAAGATAAGCACCTGTTGGTCTCTCCATGGTAGAACGGTGAATTTCGCTGTGTCTAGTTCCTCCCTGAGCGGGCTGGAAGTTGGTTGGAACGCGGTAAGACCCTCACGATGCCGTACAGCCTCATGCTGTCGAAGTAATTCGACGGCGCGATCCACGGAGAACTTTCGTGCTGCTAAAAATTTGACGGCTGCTGAACGAGACACAGATGGGCAGCGTGTCTGAAAAGCTAGTACAGCCTGAAGAAAAATAAGCGAATCATATTAGAGCTAAAAATGCCACACTATTGAAACTACAAAATTACTTTAAATAAACTTTAACTAAAAAAAGTATAATTATACTAGACTATATTATACGAGTCGATTAAAATGTACATAACTCGGTAAATATGCATATGATTCACCATCATTAACTTCAAACACTAAACCACTTTGAACACACATTCTAATGAAGATTGCTTCAAGCGAAATACCCGGCCTCTTGTTTTAACGGTTAGACACCAAAAAGAGAAAACATTTTATACGATCATATGACGTTTTATATATGTATATCGCCGACATTTGTCAAGCAAAACTAGAATCTTAGAAGAACTGTAAAAGGGTACACTCGGCGAAACTAATTTGGCAAGGAACCGCGTCGTAATTGGTATTCACAAATTGAAGTTACAGGGATAAAAATGGGAAGATAAAAGTCAGCGCTACTGAACGATTTTAGAGCAAACCAAAGTGCTCCTACAATGCCGCCTAACGATGGTTCCGGACATAGATTCGGAGCATTTATTTAAAGCAACGTTCCAAGTATAGAAGAAGCTTCTGAGATTAGAAGACACTATAATCAACAATATCCAAGTCGAAGTTAGGGGGTCAACCAGAACAAACTTCAAACACGTTTTTAGGTTTCTCGCTTTCTTATTAAGCAATCGGCTTGTGATATGTTGTACAGTGGCTTTAAGGAGACCGAAAGTGGGTGGTTTATATATATGGTGGGTTATATATAAAATATCCTACTAACCTCAGCTTTCTGAAAGGAAACCGGCGAAATATCTCCTTTGCTTAGAAAAGTTTCAAATAATAAAATAGGCGAGTTGTAGACAAGTCGAGCGAAAGAGCTGGGTAGATATTTCAAGAGACTCAGACCTTTTGAATATTGTCATATTTTGATTGTATTTAGTAACAGACTTGGAAGTGTTCATAGGCATGAATCATTCTGCACAGTGCACGTGCTGCTTACGTTTACGAGCTCATGGCGAACGCATTTTAGTCGAGTGAAACCAACTTTAATGTTAACAATCCATATTAGTGAAAACCTGTTAATGTTTTGAGTAACGGTGGTTTTAGGCTCACAGACAAATCACAAACATAGTGCTAGGTAAAAATATTATTGAGGCTGCCGATTACATAATCGAAATGAATATTGCAACATACGTGTGACTTATTGCAACATACTAACCCCGCTTTTTTACGATTTCTTGGGAAAATAAAATATATGTTGAGGCCTATGGGGTCGGTTCGCCTCTGTAAACGAACGGTGAGCATGATAGTGAAGTCAAATTGGATAAATCTGGTAAATTAGGTTTACCGTGAGGTAGCTGTTAAACTGCATTTGCTATAACATTGTCTACATGTTATACTTATTAAGAAAGTATACCATATAAGCTATAAACATTTAATAAGTTGGCCAAGTTCTACAAATGTCAAAATGTAAACGAAGTAGCGGAAATTATCGGATGAAAAGCGGTGTTGAAGTAACAGATTTACGATAAGACTAATAGATCAATTGTTCATGCTTGTTTTTTACAGATAGCTAGTGAAGAGCTGCACTCATATGGAACGCTATCTGTATGCTAAAATATGTAAACTACACAAAATTGCTCGAATCAAGCTTGAATGCGAGTCAATTGTATATATCTGCTTGCTAAGTTTTTTTTGTTCACACAGCGCGGTTCTGCACTGAAGAGGTACCTCCAAAATACTGTTTCCTTCCAACGTATTCTTAGGGTCGTTGATTGTGCTCCGATACTTTTACGAAGTTCGCAATAAGTGAGTCAATTAACCACACGTTGTACTGAATCAGTCACTAAAAGGTAGATTCTATACATCAAAATGAACGTTCATAGAGATATTTTTATTCTACGGCTCTATCATTCTATGCTGCTTTAACCCATGTTTCATATAAACGTCTAACCTCTTCTTCGTGGCTGTTGAGATTCTCGTTCTCCCGTTGCTGAGGCGACTGGTCATTCTCATTTCTATGACGTTGTTGATGTTGATGATGCTGTGTGGGCGATTGTTGTTGTAGCTGCTGCAGCAGCACAACTTTTTGCTGCTGTTGTTGATCTGTTTGTCTCTGTGGAGACTGGTTCTCGAGCTCTGGTTGTTGTTGTTGCTGCTGATGTTGCTGCTGCTCATTATAGTCGTCATCACAATCACCAGTTTTTTTGGTGCTACTTTCTCTGCTAGGCTTCATCGTACCGTTAGCTTGATTGTTCTTTGTTGTTAATGCTGCTATTGTTTCTTATTAATATTGTAGTAGTTATTGTAGATGCGTTAATCAGTTGTTACTATTTGGGCAAGTTTTCTTCTACTGGCCTTGTTCACGGTTTAAGTTTAGTACAGCGTGATATCTCCGATCTTACATGCTACAGGAAGTTCGTGCGATACATCAGTGCAGCAGTTACCCAACGAACAGAGGACCAACTGTACGTGCTACTGCTTCCTTCCTCGATAACGTTTGGATATATTATTGTTGTTGTTATTATTATTATTATTATAAATATTGGTTATATTGCTGCAGGTCTGCCACCTTGAATGGCAAGTACGATGTTTCTTTTTTTTTTTCAGTTCCTATTATTCTTCATTGATTTTTTTCTTCTATAACCGCAAATGTTGTATTCTGCAATATGGATACAACACTTCATAGAATATTTAGTACATGTTTTGTTTGTCTTCACTGATTCGAGTTTATACTATAGTGTATCCACAGCAAACATACCGTTATGTATGTATATTTGTATTTATACACGCACACAGACGATACACGCTCACTTGCTGGACTTCGCATTCATTTGAATCTTCTTAATTCGACTCTGAGTTGTTGGCTGATTTGTCAGCGATGACAGCGGCGAAGCGGTACACGGAAATTTGCTTTCAAAACAGCTCTGCGAAAATAGGTGCATTTATTGTGTTTCCTAAGCCCTACCACAAACTAGACGTTTACGTTATGCAGAATTAATGCGTCTGTAATACAGATCTGTCGTCGCTGTTCGTTTGTTATCAGCCAGTCTCTACAAAGACCTTCTGATGTTTTGACCATTCAGTGGTTGCTTATGTGACGGGCGGTCATTATCCTCAAAGAACTGCCGTTTCCGTCGTAGCCCAATGGCCGATGAATTTTCTTTTGGATTAACGCATTGTTTCCAAATCAATAGTTCTACGGATGCCTGTCGGCCTGGCTTTCTAGATGTCTTAGTTGTCTAGTTAAAGCAGCAGCCGTAAACAGAGAACGACGAACGACAGCAATCCCTTCAAATCTACTCTTGTTGTTGTCAACACGACGGTTTAGCGCGCTCAGTCCCGACGCAGATAATCATCTAATGTTTATATCTGTATGCAGTGGACAAGAGCCATTGTTGTTATCGAAAATGACTAACTTGCCGGAGAGAGGGAAGAGGAGGAAGTCGCTTCCGACGCAATCCTCCTGTTTTCTGTACACTGCCTCATACACAATAAATTATAACCTGTTATTGCTGCTATGGCTGTTTCTTCGTCAACCAACAGATGCTGCTGTACTGTATCAATTGTGTTTTGTCATTTCAAACAATGACGTTGCAACAAAGCATCTTGAAGCAGCGGAAGAGTTGTCGCACAAGCAGTTCTTTAGTTTACCGCTGACTGACTGATCAACGAAATCGTCAACTCATTAGCTAGTAGCAACCAATTTGCCTCTAACAGAATATTAGATTCGAGTATAACGGTGATGTTCTTTTTTGCTTTTGCGGCGGCGGCTCCTACTGCTGTAGTAAACAACTGTACCTTTATGGACTCACCCACCTCAGGAGTTTAAACCGTCTCTGAAAGACACATCACCATCACTGCTGTCAGCACGATCGACACGTCCGGCACCTCACGGTGTCGTCACAGTTGAAAGCCTAGCGGCCGTGGTCACTGTCGGTTCACTTCGCTCGGCACTAATCCAGCTTTGCTGCCCTAAGCAACGTTCGGGTTACGGCTGATGCGACTGAAACTGATGCTAATACAATCTGAGTCGCTACTGCTGCTGCTGCTGCTGCGTGACTACTTCTAGTGACGTAGCTGATGCTCGTCTCAATCGTCGAGTTGAAGTTGTTGCGTCTGCACTGCTGGCGCCGCCGCTGCTGCTGCTACAGCTTCCTCTCGAGATCACGGCTGACGCTGATGCCGTTGCAAGCTTCTTTGTTTCTGAACGCGGTGGGGGTTGTTGTTGTTTTGCTTCTGATGCTTGAGCGAAGGTAACGATAATAGTATTAATAATAATATTTCTACTAGAATAACTGCAGAAATTCTGGATTTGTCGTTGATTGGCAATTGAAACGACGACAAGCAATAGCAACTGAGCGTGACAGAGACCACAGTTGACTTGAATAGCGGCAAGATCAGCTGCTGCGTGGGCATCTGCTGGAGTCGTCGTCGTTTATGCTCTGTCGGTTGTTTATTAGTTCCACCAGCGGCAGGAGCAGCAGAAGTAGAAGCGGTTGGTATTGTGGAACTTGGCGATAACAACGTTAATGCTAGTGGCAACAAAAAGGCCGAGGCGGGCTTAGCTATTCCGACCAGCGTTGCTGCTGCCTTTGTTGGCTTTTGCCGCTGCTCGTGTTCGTGATAATTGTTACCGTTGCTATATAGGCAGTCGCTGCAGAACTGGTGGCTATATTTAGGTTCGTCAGAGTAGCCGTGGCCAGGAGTTGTAGTAGCAGCAATAGCAACAATAACGTTCTTACAGCTACCAAGATTTGTGATGCTGTGCGTGTACTCGTTCCAAGTCGTTGTATTAATAATAGTAATAATAGTTGAGATCCTATGCTGCTGCTGATGCTTGTGTTTGTCGTGGCCTTCGTCGTCGTGATTGTTGTTGTCGTTGTAGTCGCGATGGCTGTGACTCAGGGGGCTCGCGCGCCGCTCCATGGCGCGTCCGACCACCCTGCCGGTTTAACCACCACAATCATGCGACCCTCCCACAGAGTCCCCCACTGAACAACGTAGCCTGTTCCTCTCGATGGCGGCAACTTGTGTGTTACCTCGGCCCTCTCAGTTCCGAGGTTACCATTTAAACCACACAAATCACCCAAACACCTCCCTACCGAATGTAGCCCAAAACTGGTGTTATTGCGGCCGGCACCAATCGCATTTGTGCAGGACAAATAACCACGGTCACCGTCACTAAGCACTATTCAATTTAGTCATTTTTTTGCGACTGTCCCTATATTCATTTATGACCTTTAGACGTCGCAACACATCTGATGCACTGTACGTAACCGAGTAGCAGCAGTATAACGAGATTTCTCATTAGCAAGAATCGAATGTATTGTGGTATTCTCTCATTATTGTTTCTGCGACTGCACAGGCAGCACTTGTTCTATGAGCATCATCATCACGACGACCTGCAGCACCGTCGCTCGTCAGTTCACTCTTAGCTGCAACTGTAGATGCAGCTGCCTCCACCATAGGCGAAACTATTTTTCTTCCTGTTTCTTCTAGTCGTAGCTGCTGCAGTATTGGTTCTAGGACGACTACGACGACGAGTCCAGCTCCTTCCACTGACTAAGGAAGGTTTGCTACAGTTGCCTCTGGTGCTGCCGCTGCTGTTCTAACCGCTATTGCCGCTTTGACTGTTATTATTGGTAGTGATGGCACAGGCGGCGGCAAACAAAGTGGTCCCAACGAAACTAGGGACGGCTTTGTATGCTGCTGCGACCCTTGTGGGGCTATCGTTACTTCCTGAAGCAGCAGAAGCGGTTAGAAGGGAGAACGAAACAGACACACGGCTGTCGATCGAAGCAAGCTCGCTGCTCGCTGTTTTCCGGCTGCCTTCCGCTGCCTGATAGACTGACAACCAGAACGTCGTACTCGCAAGCCGTAGCAGGCGCTCCGTCGCCGTCACGGCTGCCTGCTCACCTGGCTCACTCACTCTGTGAGTCCTCCCTTTCCTCTATCGTACCACGCCGCTAAAAGTGCCTCTAGCCACCCATTACAGACGCCGCTATATGAATTCTGCTACAATTGTTACTGCTATTGTTGACGCGGAGGCTGCTGCTACTCGCTGCCGTTGATAATGCGTCCTGCTGCTCTTCTCCTTCTTCCCCTCGTCGGCGCTCTTCCGCCACTGCCGCCGCCGCCGCCACTACGTTTGTGTGACTCCCTGTTATTGACCAATCGGTCTACTTCGAGCAGCAGCGGCAGCACTGGCCATAGCATCTATCGATAATACAATAGGTAGGCACTCCTTTCACTTTCGCAAGGAACGAACGGGTAAATATATTGAAGAGACGGTTCGTGTTTACAGCGTGCGGGCGATTGCCATCTCGAATCGTTTCTTTGTAATGCGGCGCGGGTTCTTCGATCTTCGTAGAGATTTCACGATGAATTAGCAGGCACAAAAGCATGAGGGAACGATATAAAAACGGTTCAGATCAATTAGAGAGGCGCGGAACGAATTTGGAGTCCAAAATCGAACTATCAAAGAAAAAAGATTTCACGGGTGTGCCACACTATCACTAATGATGACATTGCTTTGTTTTGCATACATGACTCAACGCTGTTCCTTCCATTAACGAAAAGTAAACATATAGACATTCATACAAATTGGATATCCAAAAAGTATCGGAGCTATGGTTGATTGCTGTCAGCTGCAAGTGACACTTCTACGATAAAGATGGTAAATTAAAGGTAAATCTTTAACCAAAGTACACACCAAGCGGTTGTCATCACTCGATAATGATAGCGATAGCGTGATGCAGTGTGTACCACGCTCGTACCACAGGTTCTTAGCATAGTTTTTTTACCTTTGAAAGTGGCAATGAGCTCTATATGGCATAGCGTATTAAGCGCAATTTGCCTTCAAGCCCATACTACCTAAAAGGATTAACATTTTGTTGCCAGCTTTGAAATTCCACAGATGTGTTTTTTCTTCCGCTCTTTCTTTATCAATTTTTAGTTTCTGAAACATGTGGCACATTTGTGGTGAGGCTCGTACAACACGTACTCTTTCTCAGCGGTCATTAATAGCTTTGCCACTCGATCCCGAGAACGAATAAGATTTTTCATTACATTTAATTGAAATCGATCTTGAGATTATCTGGACACGCATATACTTATGAACTTTACTCTTTCTATATATTATAGAATATACATTGAAAGTATCATAACATAATAAATTGTATCAATGGTAACGAAGTGCGGCAGCGTCCTCGAAGGCTACTCACAAAAGATGCGTGAGGTGTTGTGCGGTTCGTACCACACGGGTGCCAATCGCGAGATATTGAGGGGAACATCCAGGATCAATTTTTACCCACGTTTAGGTTTATTCAAGAATGCCATATTCCACATCCGCATTTCTTGATTTGATTTAAATCAACATTCATGGTTACCACTAACCCACTACTATAATTTGTGTTATACGTCGATTTATTCTAGTGCCTGTTTTTATGGCTTAATAAATATCTTAATGGCGAGGAGGTTTAAGTGGTGCATGGGAAGAGTAACTGAATGTATAATAAAAGTTTATTAACTATATAAGAATAGTTATGCTCAAGTGTTGACTACAGTAGTAACACGTTTGTGACGAAATTCTGTTCGAAAATATGTTGCTATGAGCTAACAGAGTCATGGATCACCTATTGATAGAGAATATAATTCATGCCGAAGTGTAAAACAACTCAGAATGTATAAAAATTACACTGAATGGCACGTTTTAAGATTGCCTTCACATGATTTCATTCTCTTTTTTTCCGTAACCAAAAAACTTTCTTAAGATAAATATTTATCTTCGCATAAGTAATCACTCCACATAATACATGGAAACGCACTCTATATTTTACTAACATCATATGTAATTAGTAATGAAGCATAGAGATTGAATATACACATACATGCTATCATCTTCTGAGGTTCTCTCCTTTTTCTTTTTTTTATACGGTCAATTATTATAATTACACTATAGAATTTTCCTTGCCATTTTCTTATTACATTATTTTAACTTTTTTATTCCACTTCGCTTTTCTCACACACAACCCATTTTTCTACACACGAAATTGTTATTTGTTCACCACTATTTTGGATGCTCCAAAATCATAGCCTTTCATAATAATACTATTTATATGCCAGATGCTTGTTAAGGCTTAGCTCTATTTAGAGATTTGTTTAGCATATACAGTTCAGCCTCGATTACGTAATCTAATTAGCAGGCAACGGGCGATCTACATCAAAAGGACACACACATCATTGTTATCACATTGAATTAAATTATTATTAATATGTATTGATGCTTCAGCCTATTTATCTCCAAAGGCGCGGTTAGATATGGTTCATAGTGAGGATATTATTTCCAAATAAATATAATGCTTTTTCATTAACATTAACCCAACTGTGGCGGAGATAAGAATCAAATCGTTACATGCTAATGAATGTTTAAAGGTATTTAGATTGGACTGATTAACTCATACTTTTTCTACGTGCGTGAAGTAATTTTGTCCCAACGTTTGCAGTTAGGTGATTGCATGTGGGAGCAAATTTCTCGAAAACCGCATTATTTAGCGGTTTTGGCTGCCGGAGGTAACTATGCACAAATGAAATACTAATTTTTGCCCAGGTTTTCATGCAGTAAAATTATAGAAATGATCTGTTTTGTTTAGGGTAACAAATTAAGGATTCTCTCCATTATGGACAAGACAACTTTGAAATCGAGATGATCCTTAGAGTGTTACCTCATATATGAAAAAGCAGGGTCATGTAAATTATATAAGTTTTACAAATAATTTTGTTTAGGTGTGCTGCCAAGTTCTAGTAAAAAAAATAATGAGAACTTTCTTCTCCTTCCTACAGCTTATTGTTCACAAGCTTTTAAAATCCGCGTAGCACCGTAAGCTAAATAGAGTCGCAAACGGGCAGTTGTCCATTAACGAACATACAGGCGTTTTAAAGTTCTAGTCTTGCAAAAAAGGGACAACATAACCCATTTATGTTTTAACCCATTTACGTGACTTTACCACCGCAGTAAATCAAAAGTCATATTCGCTGTAAAGATCGTTGATACTACACAGCGTATATTTGGCGTTCGTTTCATATAGAACGAACTTTTTTCTATTCGGTTATTGAACTTAACGCTCACTGTGTGATAGATAGAGGATTAAATTTATAGAATACTACTTTGATTCTATTTGGTTAAGCTCTTACAAGTAGCGTAATATATAGTTGAAAGTTTTATTTAAATTATCTAACTAAGGAGATGGTCTCAAACAAGTCACTTTTTGGGAAAGTAAGATCCTGTCGCATTGAACACAAGTGATTCCATAGATATTGTACTTTTCGATAGAATTGTGTGAAACGGTTTAAAGCTACACACACCGATACATTGTTTCCTGTAGCTGTTTTTGTCTGAGCAAACAGCCAACCCGACCAGACCGAGTAACGATCCGTAGAATTTTCCTGATGAGTCCTCTTAATGGGTAATGAGTCATAGTGAGTGGTGGCCATGATGTGGAGAGAGACGCCTCTTTCTCAGGTTTGTTTACAAACACGTTTTATATGAGTTGTTCAGTTGTTTCGAATTCGCGTAATTCGGCTATTTTTCTTGCTTTAGATGGCGGTGCATTCGATTGTAACAAGTATTATGCAGTAGTGAATGATGCATTAAATCTTCATATTTGTCCCTTCAAGATAGCGCGACAACACAAAGGTATAAATTTACTTTTACATGACGCTTTACATAGGTGTGATCACCCATATTTCGTTCAGAATATCAGGGTGGATATAAGCCACGAGTAATCAAAATGTGAATTGCTGAGGAAGCGCCGAAATAAATTTTAAATAAATTATACAGATCTATATTCTACCTCCTTCCATTACATTACGTTCTATGGAAGTCGTACGTGTGGAGCACCGCGTGCATTTGCTATAGTTTATATGTTTACGTGATGCTTATTTATCTCATGCTATAAACCATCATCAAGTGTATACATAATAATCAGCTGATTAGTCTTGCATTTGACATCTTGAGCGAGTCGCACTCGACAAATGTATTTGCCTGCGAAAACCAGAGCGTAGTTTGAAACTCTATTTTTCTAATACTTAACAAGGATCCATTAAGATCCATCAAAATCTTATCTCATGTTCATTCCTAATCCAAACATTCTTTTCACAGTGAACTGTGTGGAATAAAAACGGTTATTAAACGGATGTATAATAATTCTATGATGAAAATACCGATTGCATTTGAGCAACGTTTCCTAGTTTCCTATTCCGCCAAAATGACTGGAAACTGTTGGTGCATTTACATTTTCACTAGACTCTTGAAAGTGGCCCACAAATTACAACTTAAGCGAAGAACATTTTCCACTTTGTTGTGTTGTTCATACTGTTGTTCATTTTCTTATGCTTAACTTAGATGTGATCTGCTCTATTTCCTAAGTAGCATCATCACACGGCCAATACTTGGCATGGATGACTAGCTGCACTATATAGTTCGCATTCGAAATTTTCATAGTAAAAATAAAAAACAGGTTAAAGACACTTATATATCTAGGCATTCTACCGAAAACTGAGAAACTTAACTAAAAACTGTATAATATGCTTGCGATGTCTACAGTGCGATGTCAGGTTCAATCGGTGGCGGCGGAGTGGGTGTCAGCGGTGGCTTTGGTAGCCGTGGTGAGGAAGGACCGTTCGAGGTGGAATACCTGAAAAATTTGCCACCTTGCCACCCTCATTTAGTTGAAGCTATTGTAACGCAGATCAAAAGTCAGGGCCTTTTTGACGAATTTCGCAAGACGTGCCTCGCCGATATTGATACCAAAGTGAGCTATTGTTCGATGCGGCATAGATGCATGCTATGCATGCTTCTCCTTGCCCGACAAACCAAAGCTCGATAGCTACCTAAAGGAATATTCCAAGGAAGGTTAACCTTTCACTTTAAACTATCACCGGCTGTGTCTTTGAATTTTATGCATCCTATGTTAAAAGTAAAGATCAAGCTATATTGTTCCGAACAATTACTAAATCAAGGGTATCTTGATCATTTTACGATATCTTCTAGTGTAACCTTGCAGTCATTATGTCTATAACACCATCTGTCTAGGAACCATTTATTTGCACTGATGATATATAATAGTAGTAAGATATTTTGTTGCGTGTTTCAGAAAACACTAAGCATTCGTTTCCTATGGCTAACTAGTGCAATATCTTTGGCAGCATCATCAAATGGTAACTTGGTGATAGTGTAATGTGCGTTAGAGTCTATTCTGTTTCTTGAACAATGTTTTGTAAATGCATGAACTGAGAAGGATCGCTATTACGGATGCGTGTTGATATGTATTTGTTCGCATTTCTCGCTGTGTTGTCGCTTTCGTTGCAGCCTTCATATTTAAACCTAAAGCAACGCGTCGAAGGCTATGTTAGTGCATTTCTTAAGCGTCAACAATGGAGCAGTGTCCTACAAAAGAATCAACTTCGAGAAACACTTCGCAAAGATATCAATGAGTATGTCATATATAGCTAGATGATGGCAATGCATACAAACGTTTTATTAGTGCTTTAAGTGTAATTTGGAGGGTCTTTCTGAAACCCAAATGTGTAGTCATAATCATAATTACAGAACACTGTTTTTTTTTTATCAGTGATTAAGCCGGCCTTTATATCTTAAAACTTTAGGATGAGTTAAATTAATATGTCTAAGCCGTGAGACTTGAAAAGGTGTCTGACAATTTGTTTAAATTGAAACTACCGAAATCTTATTCATGAATAATCGTGAAAGGTCAAGGCGCCCAAACATGGTATCAACGCGATAGCTTCATGAAGCACCAATAGATACGTCGCCCACTACTTGATTTAATGGAATGATTGCTGAAGTTATGGTCCCCTCTAATTGTTTCCTTTTCTGTTAGAAGGAGAAAGGCGTTTGATTTCTTACGAAGTTTCAATTCTCCGTTATAACGCATTCACCTAGCAAACGCTTTCGAATAACTAAATATAGATTATAAAGTCCACTGCCAATATTATTTTTATCATATATATCACTTACAATTAGTTAACTTCATAATTCCTAAAACTTGAATGATCTGCGTATGTATGTGTTATATACTATATATTTTTATAAGGCTTAATTTTTATCTAGCTTACCGTATATGACTATTTTTGTATAACTATTATTGGTCCTAATTTATCTGAATTTCATAAATCTTTATCTTCTAATTTATTTGCAGATCAGGTCTTCTAAAGACTGGTCTTGACCATTTAGTGGATCAGCTAGTATTTTCCAGAGTGGAGCGTTTTATACGGCCAAAAGTGCAAACAGAAATCGCTGACTTCCTTGGCATCAGCGAAACACCACCTCAGCCCATTGCAGCAAGCCACGGAGTGCCAGTTGCTGTACCTCCGCCTAACTTTTCGATGCCTCCACCAAATTATGGTAGCGTTCCGTTTGCATACAATGTACTAAAGAATAATCCATATTTCCTAAAAGGAAAATTTAATTGAGGCGCTCCGCATGAGTAAAGAGAAATGAAAGTATGAAATTTACCTAATAACAGCACGCATAAGACAATTACGCGTGCCTGCCATTTATTGTTAAGAGAAATGATGGCTTAGCTAATGATTTTGGTATGATATTTCTTAAGCCTCGAAAAATTTGTCGGCATTTTGAAACTCGCATTGGGGGGCAACAAGCGGAACGGGTTTTCATCAAGAATTCTATGGATAATTGTTAGTTGACTCAAATATCATATTTTACGACCGGGTGAATACTTTGTAAGGATTGTGTGCTCCACAAACAAAATATTCTACGGACATATTGAGGAAATAAAAATCTAAAAGTTTTACGTAATTAGATTAATATAACCGTAATTAGATATTTACGATACATACGATATTTAAATTAGTGCTTGTCAGTATTATGATGCTATAGACTAATGTGAGGAAAAACTGACGTAGAAAAAATATATTTTGTTTGCCCAGTTTGTCCGCCGCCAGGGTTACCTCCTTTTCCGCCAGTGCCACCGCCGCCCGACGTGGCTGGTCTCATGATGATGAGCCAAGGCGGGCTAATGGGAGATAATAATAGGACCAGGCTAGAACACGAAGGGGCAGTTGGCGACCCACGTCCGCCGGAGCCACCTTCACCCCATGGGAGCGATTATTCGGTTGGTAAGTATTTAACTGATCACTTATTTGACTGTACCGATTGCAACTAATAAAGATCAGCAACAATATGGAGTTTTCTAATTTCCCGCAAACACCTACAGTTATATATGGAACTCTTCCGTCGTTTACATTTGGGTCATTTCAGATATGTCGGATTGTAGTATGGTTGGACGAGACGAGGTGGTCGGTGATATAGGAGATTTTGTCAACTCATCACGTGCGCCTGTTCCCGGAACGGCCTCGACCAATGCAGGCAGCAATCACTACTCCAGGGACTCTTCCCTCACAGGGGTGGGTGAAGATGAGACAGAAGTTGTCCAAGAATCAATGGTACTGTTAATCGAAGGGGAAGATATTTCTAACAGTCCGCTTTCCAATGACTTCCTTGAGGATGATGACCAAACGGATTCAACTGGAGATCCAACACAACAACCTCCAGATATTAAAAGGGGTGCTATCAACCCGAGTGAAGTTGAATCCAACAGTCTATCAACCACTATGGTGATGATTAATCAAGACGAGCAGCTATTTGTAGCTGCGACAAATCAGGAAACGGTAGAATCAACTCCAGTTCACAGGGATCCACCTGTGGCATCATCGGCGTCGACGAACGAAGATGAAGAATTAGGAAATGGTAAACGACCTGATTCGACATTCGAAGAGCTATCGGACGGCGGCGAAAGCGTTTTGACGGCAGGTGAGGAGGAAGGTGAAGCTACGCCGGTTGAGGATGAACCCGATAATGAAGTAATACCCTCATCTCCACCCTCGAAGTGAGTTGCTGGACATTCTGCAAAGAAGCACGGGTTGATGAAGTTGAACAGTTGTGTTTGACATTTTACTCAAGTAGTGCTTTACGGAGGTCGAACATATAGTTCACATTGATTCTATTTGCCCTCAGTAGTGAAATGTTAGCTGAACGTTTCACTAAGCACGTTTGTTGGGCTTGTGTCGTTTTGCAGCAGACGAAGCCTCAATCAAAGGCCGTTTTCACGAAATGGCGACGAGAGTTGTGGCGAGGCACGGACCGACTTTCGGGGTCTCTTTCCTGTTGGAAACATGATTGCTCCTAAACACGAACCAGTTCCTCCTGGGGTGGATTATTCCCACGGCGTGATGCCTCCCAGCCCATACACTGACGGCAACAATACAGCAGATGATAATAGCCGAATGGTTATTGACGAGGTAATGCATTTAAGACTGTAAAATAAAGTGTTATAATCAATCAAAATACTATCAATATTAATTACTTCAGACTAAAGTGAATGTTTATCTAAAGAATGAGCCAACCAGACACGCACTTGTTCGAGGTCCGTCCGAATTGAGTTAATACCTAGCATAATTTTCTTTGTAGACGGGTTTCTATAAAATGAAATAGTTCATCAGTAATTAAAAGTTAAAGAGGAGGATAAGTGAGTAACAGATGGATTTTAACAATTTATTGTTTCTAGGGGACTGTTGCATCTTCGTTGATGGTCCAGAATAAGCTTATGCAAGAGGATAACATGGAGTTAGTATCAGATGAGGAGCTTAACGACGTTGAAGGAGAAGGTGACACCGTCGGGAGTGTTACTCCTACAATCGATGAACAGGAAGAGCAGGAACTGCAGCAGCCGAATACGGCGGAAAGCGCAGAAAATCCTTATCATATGACAGTAGCGACGGTAGCAGCAAGAACAAGGGATCAATCCGCAAAAGCGGATCTAGGTCCGCCAGGCTGTATATCAGATACCACAGATGCTCGAAGCGATGTCTGCCGCACGGAGACTGCACTAGAAGGAACAGAAGCGCCGTGAGTTAGATGTTGCAAGGATACTGTACATACATACAGCAAACATAAATTCTCAGCCAGCCTGTATGAAACTGCTACCTAAAGATACATCAAAATGAAGCCATTCATTTTAATAAACTAACTTTGTGAGTTCCACTGTAATGGCCGGATTTCTTATGTATACAAGTAGACTTCACGAGGAGATTTTCTTTACGTTCACCTTATGAGTGAGTTTATTCTCGCTACAATATATCTGAGAGTGAATGTTGGTGCAGTTACTGCAGTTAGTGAGATGACGTAGCGACGTAATTGTGGGTAGAATAACAATACTACTGTTATTGTTAAATAAATTAATTATATTAAGGTATATTTCCTCCGTGCTTTGTCGGTTTCAGGAGACCTGTGGCAGTGGCTGAATCTAAGACAGTCCCTAAAACCACCCTGTTCTGTGCGGACGCGCCGAATTCGTTTAGCCCGACTCGATCTACGCAGTCTCCCTCGCATATGAGTGACGGCTCGGTGAAACATATCGAGGCTAGAGAGACCACGCCGCAGTTCCCACGTTCGCCTCAAAAATCGCAAGAGGAGGACGATAATATGAGACCCAAACAACTGCTTTCTCTAATGCAAAGTAGGACAGACCCTGCTTTGTCATCACCGGAACAGTCTTCAAGCTCAAGGCCGGTTGATGTAGATCTGATGCCAACGACACCGCCTCGACCACCATCAGTAGCTCCCCCTAAACAGAAAGCTGAGGGCGGTGCACCCTCCGGACCCCCTTCGCCTACTATTGAGGGGACGCACGATGGTTGTTATAGTACAGTTAGACTGGGTTTTGGCGAGGAAGTTGTCTCATCCGAGGGTAGCATAGGCACAGCTACTGAGGATGATTGTAGTACCCGAATTGAGGCAGTCCCTACTACGCAGCCAGCAGACGAAGATACTCGTCCCCCTGGAACATCTGATCTCGATTCCAACGGTGATTACGATATAGTAACAAGTTATCTCATATATTTTCAAATACCTATGTTAGGTATGAAAAAGATGGTTTGACTTTTTACATCCGGTACTGCCTTGCATTACTGTATTGCTTCAGACAATTGGTCCTCAGAATAAAACGAAGTATGTCTATACTCGGTTCCGAACTTAGATCATCGCACGCATCTTAACATTTAAAAGGCAAACACGTTACCACTAAACCATTATAGAGATGTTATATTAGACCTGGCCACTTTCATTTCTTTGATGCGTAAAACATATGTAGTACATCTAACTGTTGGCGACATTACTTGTTGTGCTATCTATATTTTAGAATTTGTTCGATTATCTGGTGAAGAACGAGGTGAAACGCCCGTTGAAGACGAACCTTTGTTAGAAGCAACAGAGATTACGACAGAAAGGACCACCGAGGCTACTGGACACCCATCTGAACATGTAGTGGAATCCATGGAATGCGATCCGCTGGGTGAGTTAGCAGTAAATGCTAACATAGTGCCCCTTGACTGTCCTGATCCTAGTAATGAGAGCCCTGTCTTTTCTGTACGGTCGCCAAAGATTGAAAGCGACGTGGAAGAAAATTTGCAGAAGCGTGCTAGCGTTTTCGAGGCAGAGTCTTTTGTAGCTCAACCAATGAGTCCCTCAGAAGACAAGGATGAAAGCGAAGTCCCTGCGCAGGACATTGACAACGCGGACGAGAAGGCAAGTCAAAAAGAAGATAGTGACTCGCAGAAAAAGGTAGAGAACTCGAACTATTTAGGCCACCATAAAACTGCTAGCAACAGTAGTCGTCATTCCAGGTGAGTAACCCTATAATGTTAATGGACGTTTGTATGGCAAATGTTCTGAACAATTTCTATCTTACGTCTGTCACAAATAGCTGAATGTCCACGTTATTAAGTGAATAGGGGCTTGGTCTTAAACATTTCCAAATCTCTCCGTTAGCTATATGTGAAAGAACAACGTTGCGACGTGTGTATTTAAATGAATTATTTTATGAATTAATTTAGTGAAACCAAAGAAGTTTTGTTATGGAGTTGAGTGGGAGCAAACAGATGTTAAATACTGTTATGATGATTGTGGTGATGATTAACCAAAGGGAAGTGCTTTTAGTATTAAGCAGTGCTTTGTATTTTTGGTTCTATTTAAAAGCGATCGTAGCGTACGACAACCGGGTCACGCGTCATGTTCGGTGTCACTGCCACCTCGTAGAAATAGCGGGCACCACAGTGATATCAAAGATAAAGAAAGTAGGGATAGAAGTGAAAAAAATGATGATAGGAGTAAAAGGCTGAGTAGCAGCAGCAGCAGCAGCAGCAGCAGCAGCGGCGGCAGCGCAGGCGCCGGTAGTGCGGACCACAAGGAAAGGGAGAAGGAAAAAGACAGAGATGGGGGTCATCGTTCGCACAGGTCTGATAGAGACAAGGACAGTAAACGAGACAGTAACAATAGCGAAAAGGACAAAGAGCGCGAAACAAATAGTAGGGTCAGAGATAAAGATCGATCAGACAAAGAGAAAGACAATCGCGAGTCTAAAGAGCTTCGACGAGATCACAAAGAGGGAAAAAAGCAACGGCATAACACGTCGTCTTCATTTTCGTCAAGACCTCACCATCATCATCACGACTCACGGCGAGAAAGCGACCGAAACCGTGGTCGACGACATCATGATGATGAAAGGGACAGGTAGATTAATGTGCTAATTCGCTAAGAACCAATTATTTTTTCTCGAATAAATGTCTTCAATGAAGAAATGTATTTGAGAAAAGATAATTTACCTGCTCTGTTGGTTAGGTTTTAAATAATATGCGTGTATTGAGAAATGGCTATTAGCATTAGAGTGTTAGCTGCAAGTTTAGTCTACCTTGTGCTTGTGTTATGCCGCATAATAACAGTAACATGGCCAATACTTTTTCAGAAAAAGAAGCTCGGAATTTGAGAAATATAAGCACGAAGGATCGAGTCGTAGGGAGCGTTCAGAAGTGGAGGATAGCAAAAATCGAAGGTTAGAAACAGCTGATAAAATATACTCATTTCTTCTGAGTTTTGAACATTGTGTTAATAAAAAATAAACTAGTTTGTTTATATTGTCGACTAATTCACTTGACATTGGATACGTTTGGTGCACTAAAAGTATATGAATTTAACAACCTTCAATTGGCATAGGTTGTGCGCGGGGCCAGAGGAGTAAGAGTTCTTGGTATTCTAAACTTCCTTCACATTGAACTATTTTTTTCGTTCTATTTGGGCCTTGCTGCTATACTGATATTTCAGTGATCACTCGAAGGTATCCAAGACCTCCGTTTCTGAAGGGAAACACTCCCCTACAAACAAGGAAACGCAGGAGTCGAAATTACAGGACAAGGATACTAAAACTACCGATGTGAGCATTGAATCCGAGAGAACCGTAGTGACTGCTAGCACTATTCTGACAACAAAGGAAAAAAACGTTTGCGACAAAACCATGAAGTCTAGTGATGACGAAGCGATTCATGCTGTAGATGTCCAGAGTTTACCGTCTAACAACGATAAACTGAAAGCGTTCCCGCGTACAGCAGACGTTGAGTCATCCGTACTCACAGAAAAGCAGGGTAACGAGGAGATGTCGACGAAAAAAGAGCTATTAAAAGACCAAGAAGATAAGAGATTCCAGCTAAAAATTAACAACGACACTTCGATATTGGATATAGAAGTTCTCGAAAATGAAGATGATACTGAGGAAAATGAAGGCAAAAGTGAAAACGACGAAGTAACCAAAACATCAAAACTTTTCTTAGAAACAACGTCTGAAAGGGAACAGATAATAACAGAGACACAGCAGCACGATCATGTAAGTATAAGTACGATGGATAACAAAGTTGCACAGAAAAGAGTTAGTGAGCCTTTAGAACATGACGAAATATCGCCAAAGAAGCAAAGAATCCCTCAAGAAGTGGTTCATTTCGATGAAGCAGCAAACGCTACCGATAGTTCGGATAACAGGGAGGATCAACTTGTGATCAATGAAACTGAAGATCAGCCTGATGACGATGACGAGTCTCGAGATTTGGAGATTGATCTTGAAGCACCTGCACCGTCAAGAAAGCGACGAAGAAAAACTTCACTTGACACAACAGGAACCGGTGCAGGTCGATCTAAACGAGGTCGAAAAGCATCCACTACCTCTCCGGATAAAGGACGTCCACAACTTCAGGACAATAACAACGGCGCTTCAAAAGGTCCGTAACAGAGCTTGTGAATTGACTATTGAGCATATGGAGCGGGAACGCGCCATCATGAGCACACTTTAATGTGTGCTCATGATGGCGCGTTATGTGGTCGATATTCACATCGAATAAACGACTAGTCATATCCTTGCCTATATAGATAACTAGTCATATCCTTACCTATATAGATATCCAGGGTCTTTTCTACCATTTTACCTAGTTATCTAATTCATAACGTAAATTATTATAATGTCTAAAAAAGACTTTCGGTCAAATGTTATTTTATATTGGTTTATTTGTTGTTGTAGGTGAGTGCAGTCCCGTTCAAGTCCCTGGCGGTCCGGCTAAAAGAGGACGCCGGAGATCTTCGGCGGCTTCAGGTGGACAATTGAACCAGCTGGGAGGCCTGCAGAAGGACAGTAAGACAACACCCGCTGAGGATACACCTCTTCTAGAAGCAACTCCTGATCCACCAGTGTCGTCCCGTGGTCGCCAGAGGAAAATTAATCCGAAATACATCGACGATGGCGATGTGGCAGCAATGTTTTACCGGAAGAAGCGATGATGATTTCTTGTGTTTCCATCCATAATTGGATTATCGAACAGACAACAGAACATGCATAAGCAATTGTGTTACGCCTTTCCATCATGTTCATAGGCGACCATCTTTGCGCGGTTATTAGTTCCCCTCAAATGACTCCTGTACACCACATTTCACGCATTTAAAATATTTTGAAAATTCGTTTGTTTAACACAAATAAAATATAGAATAATTGTATATACAAAGTAACGTATAAAGTGTAAGGAAAACATACGATAAGATCTATTGATTAATTACTAAAAATCGTATCTTTACTTTGCTTAGAGGTCTCCGATAATCCGCTGTAATTTATTATTTTGAACCCTTTGTTCATTCTTTTTCTGTATTATATAGTAGTGATGCATGCTATCCATCATATTACCAAAAATCTGTTTGGATTTTTACGTCCACTGTCGCCATTAGGCGTTCTATCATACGGCTAACGTTCTATCAGCACTAAACGAAGTTACCCGGGGTAAGTTACCACGGATCGGCAAACTACCGAAAAAACTACTATGACGAAAAAGGATAGGTAAGCATCAGCTACGATGGTAGTACTAGTTTTTTTGGCGGTTTCATCACGTTTTCGCCGTAAAATCTAACTTTATCCTAATATATGATCTTACATAAGTGTCCGTACAATTATCGCTAAGGACTTTGCATTAAGGCTCAACACATACAGACGCTGGGTGATGTTAAAGTATAGTACCCAACAGCATACATGCCAGGCACAGTCATATTTCGAATGATTTGCGAACTTTCTGGGTGTATTAAAGTAATCGCTCTTGGCTACTCGATATAATTGAAAAGCTTGCTTTCTGAAAACTTCACCTAACTTCATAAAGTGCGGCATGTCAAGTTTACGGCGTTTTACCTGACAATTAGTGTCAAGACAAATGTTTTTGACGAGAAAAGTGGCCCCAGGCAGGTCCCAGCTCGGAAGCGATCCTCTGACCATACGGGTTAATATGGCCTTCGACCGAGGAGCAACTACAATGTAATTACAGTTCGGCACAAGATTTGCGTAAACACGCATTCTCTTTGCTTGGTCGACGATTATTTTGAAGGTTAGCTGATTCTCTCCTAGAACTCCGTGTACACACTTCTGTTTTTGAGCACTGTTTGGGCTTTCCGCGAAAACTAGAATTGGCAGGGCGATGTCTCTGGCCGCGCCAGTGCTTATGCATTGGGATCCCTCGGCACGCATCAGCATGCATAATTCAAGCAATGAGCATTTCAATGGATCCAATTATTACTCAGTCGTTCAAACAACGTCGTTGGTATAAAATAGATTCTTCTGAATTTGGTAAGGTTGCTGCGCATTTGGACTCTCCTGTGCGTTGCCGTGCTTAGACAAATCCTTAAAGTTCAGGTGGTATTGTGGGCGCTATAGAAACTATGGAAATACGAATACAATGGTCAGAAGGTATTTCTACATGATTGCGAGTAAGTATACCTCGATGGCGATTTAATTAACAGTAAAAAATAAACTCGTAAAGCGAAATATTAGGAGTGTAGAACCCTTGTTTCTAGCAAAAAATTATGTTAAAAAATATGCGAACTTTGCGTTTATCGGAAAGTATCAGTAAAAGTAATCCTACTTCAAGATTCTTGTTATCTTAAGCAGGATTACCCTAAACGAAAACTATTTTTTGCAACTTATGTTTTCTAGTTGAATAGAAATAAATGCTTAGACCATAGTTTTCTTGCAATGTTTATTTTTTAGCAACAGCAGTACTCTAACCAGAATATAGAAACACTTGAGTATAAATATGTGCCATTTGCCATCAGCTACGCTTCTTCCTTTGTGATTATTCGGTGGAGGCTCTTTGAAGAAGGTAATTTTAACAAAGCCTCTGTTATCTCGTCTTTTCATTTAAACTTCGTACTAAATACGCTATCCCTTTTATTCCTCTCCCCTGTTGCTCTTTTACAGTAAGTGGCGTTCTCCTTCTGTGTACTCGTCTCTAAATAAAGACTTAATTATGTAAAGGCTAAATTAACTTGTATTATTGGTTTCATGACCAGGCTTGAATCAATCCCCTATCTAGACATAGTTTTCATTTTCAACACCGCCGTCATCTTTGTTGTTCTTATACTTATTATTTATTACATACAAACATTTACTATGGAAATAGATTTTTCTAGGATGCACACACACACACACTCAAACACGATTCCTTTTTCCAACCAGACAGCCGTCACACACGAGCTTCGATTTTCATCGACTACCCTCTGCCTTTGTTAAATTTACATTTTTTTTAAGAATACCATTATCATAGATTCACAGTACTGACAACATAAACAAGTGTGAGACAAGTTTAATACGTATCCTTATTTTTCATTGTATCATTTAAAATCGTTGTGTGGGTGGAGTACCGATCACAATCACAACATTGTTCATTGTGTCTCCAGAATCTACTGGTATAACGTAGCATTGACAGGACTTACCCATTAGTGGGCGACATTATATGATGAACCATATTTTGACGTAACTACACTGGTCTTGACTTCCAGTGGTCTGTTAGTCCATGAATATAGATTATATAAGCAGTATTAACTGCAGGGAGGTCAGCTTAGTTGTCGTCAACTCAACGAATCGGATAAATGTATCGGAAACTAACAGGATTATCGAAGAATATTAGAAAAACGATTTGATATTACCGCTCTGGTCTCAATTTATGTTCTAAAATGGTAAAAAACAAAATTACATTAAATAGATAGTTAACTCGATACAATAATTAGTCGCAGTTAATTTGAATCAAAGGGTAAGGGAAACTAAGTAACAAAAACTGACAAACACAACTTCAATTTTGTTCGTCAAGAAGTTTCGCAAAAAAGATTTCCACTTGGCACTATAACTGAACAATGGTAACTGAATAAAAACACACAGTATGCGATTGTCAAAATCATTGATCAATTAGTTGATCATTTTGAGCTACGTACTCAAAACGAGGAGGAGATCTACTTGAAAACCTATTCACTAGAGCAAGCTATCGAAGTTCTCAGTTACGACGCACGATCGAGCCATATTCGAGTATTTTCTTGTGACAATTAACATTCATAAGATTTGCCACATCTGCGTGTGTCGATCGTGGAATTCGCCATAAAAACGTAAATTTGGTTTTACAATGTATGTTGTGCAAAATTATGCCCCCGCAGATTATAATACTCTAACGGAAGTTTCACTTTTTCTAAAACTACATCGGATTTCTGGATCACGACTTCCTTTTTACATTGGCAGAATTGTCATTGGCCATGTAAAAGCATCCGGCATAATTTTTAATTCTATAAAGTATCATCGTTCCAGACTTGAGTTTACTAATATTTCTGTTCTGGGAAGGCGCTCTTGGCGAAGAAAACGTTTTCACTTTTTAATAAAGCCAGTACGTATACAACTAGCTATACCTTCTTGTATCCTGTATTTTGTTGACTTCGAAACTACGAAATTTAAAATACAGACATGTACAGCTTTTCGTATAATCATATTCCTTGCTTAAATGGACATTCATATCATAAAAATAGTATTATTACTAATGAACGAGAACGGCACGTTGACAAACACGGAGTTGAAAACTGCAGTAGCTTTCTTTATGTTTTGTAACTCTTTGTGCAAAATGACTATCATGGGATAGCAGCAAATGAACGAAGCCTGGAAAGGTTTTATCGAAAGGCCTCGTTTTTACTGTACTACAAGATTAGGCAAAGTTGTAGTAGGCCGATATTTTTGTAGGCCGTATTCTTAATATGTTCATTCGTTGTAGGAAAAAATCCCGCTTAACGCCCTAGTTCAACATTCTCTGCTACGCTGACGCTACTACCATGACTTCAGCTAAATTAAAAACGACTAAATTGCGCACAATGACGCTGACGAAACAAGCAGCGAGGCATCCAGACGGTTGACTGTTCAGTTGACTCTTCGAAACCCAATAACAAAGCGTGCGTGCCACTTAAATCTCATGTTGCTGCTGCTGCTACTGCTGCTGCTGCTGATGATGCATATTTATTTGCTAAAATAGAATAGCATTGTTATAATGAATATACGATGTGGACGATATTGTACAGGTTAAATATGTGTCCACTTGAACCAGTATCTGTAGGAAACACTCACAAGCATACCTACTAACATACGTTTGAAAAATTGATAATTTTTTAATCAATTAAATGTACAAATGGGGCGCTGCCAGCACCAATCCACCCGTGACCGCTATTATTACCTCCTCCCCCCCTCTCTCTCTGCTACTACCTTCGGCGAGCTATTAACTCTGCGTTCGCCCTCTTCATCCCACGATTTCTTGATATAACATCTGTCCTAAGTACGAATTGAATTTCAACAGGTGTTGAATCTAATGAACTTAACTGGGGAATATTTAGCTATTTTCCCTTGAATGAATAGCTGTACTTAGAACAAAATAGGAAGTTTGATCTTCTCCTTGCCGACAGATTCAATAGTTAGCGTTGACGCTGGAAGTTCTGCAAAACGGCTTGGTTAAGCAACTGGGTATGATTGAGTTTTTTTCATTTAACGCGTCTAGCGATAAGGCTAATTCTTGTATTCATTGCGTATTGATCCCACGATTTCTCAGGAAGCTTCCATGTTCCGCGAAGTCTACCTTAGCTCAGTATCTTAAATTGCTGAACGAATTGAACGAATAAACTTTGCAAAGTGGCATAGTTAACTCTCCAGAGTGCATATGCTAAGTATTCCGATGGCTTGTTAAACGCTCAGGACTTCTATTTACAAAACATCTCGGCAGGTTGCTAATTGTTGACCAAGTTGATTGAGCGCTTTCGTATTTACTTCATACACAAATTGCCGCCATTTGACCCGAATCACTTCTCTTCTTCTAAGACAACGGCGTTAATGCTATATTTTACTGGCTATTTATGGTTCAACGTCATCCTATGTGGAAGGCAACTGAATTCCCCAAGTCATCGGACGGCCTGAGTTTGAGCTTGAGGTGCCCCCAATTCTTTTGTTGTTTGACCAATTTGGGCATCTATTAGTGGTGCTTTCTCTGCTGCTAGTTGTCGCCTGACAGCGCAATCGAGATCAAATGGCTCCTCGTTTGTTTCCGTCTGAAAGGAAATCCAAGATAGGTGAAGATTTTAAAAAAACGAAGACGTTTTTTCTTGCGCATACAGTTAGGTAAACCCTAAACTAGCTTTTGGAGATATTCACAGTTTAAGAAATTGATCAACTGGAGTACGAACGAGTTTTTAGAACAAAAAATTCATACCAGCTGTTGCTCATGTTTTCTAGTCTCGCTTATTCCCGTTGTTACCTCGTACAAAAGTTGTTTTTCATCTTGGCGTTGTGATAGAGCGCAGCACGCATAGTCCTCACTACAATCGCCATTATTATGGTCATGCTGGGAGCACATACACAAAGATGCCAGGAGATCTCGAGTCTCGTGCCGCTATTCCCACTGGTGCGGCGATGGCGGTAACTCTGAAGGGTGCGCTACCGTCGAACTGCAACAGTGAATACAAACAAATCGAAGTAACTTGGGATGGCAAAAATTGAGACAATTACGCTTTACAGTTGCTTATATACGCTCTAATCAGATTCTTAGTAAGGCTAGCCGAGCGTCAAGCCTAAAAAGGAAAGGGTAAAAGTGCTCTTTCTTTGTAGCTAACTACTTAGGCCAATAAGCTGCTCTTTGCGATATCTATGATCTGCTTAACAGACTTGTATCTGTTTAAGATCATAGATAAGAGCTGTAAATGTAAAGCAGCATACACAAAGAAACTGTGTTACCTCGCAAATGACTTAAAAGCTGTAGATTGCGGGTTTATACACAAGGGGACACGATTTGACGATGCACATCGCTCTGAGATGTATTTATGAAGTTTTTCTGAAAAAGATAATCAAATAATGAAGTAACCGGTAATTTTTATTACATACTAGCAACTGACTTTTGATCCACTTCAGAATTATTTTTAACTTATCGTACGTAACAGTAAACAGAGGAGAGATTATATGTTTGATGTTTAGATTATACAGCGTTAGAAAGTAATACATATAATATGTAAAAAAATTAGGAAAGTATGTATTATCACTTGTCATTCAGAGAGGTGAGGCTAGACTAACCTTTAACCTGCATGACGGTTTTCAGCTCGTTTTCGAGCGTATCGTCAAATTTTGTACTAGCAACGGGCTCGAATTCGCGTGCATAATGTCGCAAGCCACAATGCGCAGCTGAGGGTGATGATGACACGCAGCATCGACACATACAGGAATGATATCGTAGCCGTCCTTCATCAAGATACGGGTGGGCCAATGCGTCAGTGGCACTTATACGTCGCGCCGGATTAAAAACCAACATCTGACAGAGTAAATGGACTGCATCTGGTGTTGCCTGTGTAATTTGTAATGTGTTTGACTTAGTACGTATTTCAATGCAGAGATGACACGAAGTCGTATCAGAACATCCCCAAGTTCGAATTTAGCTTTGTCTGTGCAGTATCACCGCCTCTATTTATGGTCGTTTAATAGATGAACTATGGTTAAAAATGTCAATAACGGTACATACTAAACATTCATGCATAAAGTAGAGGCATCTTAAGATCTTGCATCTTATTTATTGCAAAAATGTTTTTATCGTTCGTTCCAAATAATACAATCGAGTCGCTGCTTATCTGGATATTACCTGAGCTCCAAGTGTATACAAGGCGGATAGCGAAGGCGGTTTAGCAGGCCGACGTAACATATGTGCTCGAGCCCCTTCGCAGGCGTATGAAGCTAACTCTGCTAGTTCTTGACTACTGGATGGAGTACCCAACAAATCGGTGATCATCTCTAACTGGGCGATGGGAGTGGGCGCCTAAGACAGTCGTTGTTGATTTTAGTCACTCTTAGCCCTATTGTAACTCTATTAGTAGATCTCATATTTTAATAAAAATATCTATTAGGTTAAGTTACATTGTAAATTGTAACAAATAAAAATCTCTGAGTTGAATTACTCGAACGAAATTATAATTAAGGGATCGGCCCACAACAAAACGATTGCAATAAGTCCGCAACATGACGTAACCGGATCTCAGAGTGAAACGACGCGCATGTCACTATCATCATGTTTAACTAGGTATAACTAATGTTTTTTTCGTAAATAAGGTCGTTAACACTACCAACTGTCTTCTGATGAATAGTTTGGCAAGTACGAGAGATCAATACCTGAAATAAGATGCGTCTTCCAAGCAGTTCAGCGAAAATACATCCTACTGACCACATATCAACTGCGTAGCCATAGTGACGCGCTCCCATTAAAAGTTCTGGTGCGCGATAGTACTGCGTTACCACCTAGAAAGAAAAGAAAAGCGACGAGTCACGCACCGCTCCACACATATTTTTAATGGGAGTTTTAAGTCAGGTATTCCTTGACGAAAAACAGTATTTTCGACACAGGCGCAAATTGAATTTGATTATTCGACCTTAATGAATGCTAACATCTGTATAAACCAAATGGCGTCAAATCAATTGATCTAGTTTATATTTCACACCATTAAATTAAATAAAACTACTTTTATTAATATTATAGTTTTGAGTTACTTAATGGAGCTCTTTCGTTAATTTACATATCAATAATATATTCGATACCGCTGATTGCGAATTAGAGAGATCTAACGTGCGAGTCTTTCTGTTAGTAGCAAAAGGACGGACATGGACGCTTTTCCCCAAAGATCTATCTTTCTCTTAAACGAAGAACCTCACGCAAATTATATGAACGCACGCACGCACATAAAGAAAACAAATCTCATTATATGTTCGTGATGTGGTAAACATGCGTGCATCTTTGCACCATGATCATCAGAGATTGCGTAGTTTTCCTTCAATGTGCAATGCAGTCTGTTTCTGCTATGAGGATTATGGGGATATGGATGCACCACGCTCGACAGAGGGACAGAGACAATCATTTTGTTACTGTCGCTACTTCACATAGCCGGATTATGGTATGCCACAAGGCTACTTGGCATAGAGTAATCGCACTATTTTGTTTTGTGTTTCTCTTTCGCGATAGATACAGAAGGTTCAATGAATACCAAACAAAATAATAATTATACGCCTATGCACAACCACATCAAAGATTTCGTAAGCAGTTTGCATCAGCGAAACAGATCGTTACATGTTGAGTTTCGTAATGTCTGACCTGACTTTGTTAGCCTCTTTTCAAGGGGGCTGAAGCTATTACAACTACTCAGGTTGCAACTAGCGCACTTTGTGCTTATTGTTCTCGTCCTGAAAACTGTGTAACGTTTCAGACAATACAAGTGTTCAATAGTAAAGCATTCGTATCACACTATGTAATTAAATTATGTACTAAAACTGCATGGTTTGTTTATACCTCCTGCGTCATATTCCTTCGCTGGTCAGGCTCCACGCATCTTGCCAGGCCAAAGTCACAGATTTTGAGCACGCAATTTGAGTTGACGAGCAGATTTCCTGGCTTCACATCGCGATGCAGGATTCCAGCGCTGTGTAGGTACTTTAGACCACGCAAAATTTGATATAGGAAAACCTAGGGGTACATCAGGCCAGTAATATGAAATCGTGAAAGAAGCTTTTCATTACGAACGAACTACCTTCATTTGCCTTCTACCTGCCCTTCCTGTTTCAGGTCAAAAGATTTCGAAGAATTCTCTATAGGCCGTCGACAGCGTAACTAGGCATCTGTTGCGGTCTGCTCAATTTCATCGACCCTTCTAGCTTTGACGGTTTATTGTGTGCAATGCTTTTTCACTAACACAACCACAGACTTCTATGAATGTTGGATAGCATAATGCCAATCTAAAAAAATTAGACTTAAAACTTTATTTCGAGCTACATCCATCCCACCCCCGTCCTCCTTCTGTTGCTTCTTCTACATACTTTAACGTGATCAGTTGTCAGGACCTGGCCGGAAACAATTATCTTGTGTAGATCGCTTTGCATTAGTTCCGTCGTTACGTAACTGAAAACATTTTTTTAAAAATTAGGTCAGATAATAAACTAGAAACTGGTAAGAAGAGGTAATGGCGAACGTAAAAAGACACATTAGCAATTTTTTTATTTCAGGAGTAGTTAACATCGTTTGTCATGTGTTGGCTTGATATGATTTCTAGTCCGATTTCGAAGCTGTGTGCCATATAGCATAAGCTGGTGCTTACATTTCCTGGAAAAAGTCAATGTGGGGAGGTTGAAGGGTGTCGAGCGCCTGGAGAATGTTGTCATGTTGAAGTGAGCACAGCATTCGCACTTCACGGAACACCCGACGGCACGAAACCATATTTTGGAAGACATTTGGCATTTTCTTGAGTGCCACTCGCGCGCCATCTCGAGGATCTGTTACTGACCTGCAAAATGAATACACAGAATATGCTCTCTTCATCAAAACTAGATCGACATGCTTCACTTTGACCGATCCTCTAACCCGCGCCACTTCAAGATTAATATAGCCCTATAGAGTTTGAATTGGTTACTTTAACACAGTTCCTATTAAACAAAAATAGTAGTGATTGGTCTTCATCCAAAGCTTGCTAATTTTTATCGTACCTTTCTCTGTCTCATGCACCTTTATTTTTGTGTATTTTATTATATTCAAGATTTTATGAATACAAGTTTGTGTAGGTGTTACTTTTTTGGTTCACTCGTAAATTCAGCAATTGCCTAACAGGAATCTGGGGCAGCGTGGCCAGGAATTTTGGAAACTGGTTCCGACCTCGGTGTTGGCAAAAAGGATTACCAGATTATTAATACTTAACAAAATAGGGCACTGAGGACTAAAGCGTTACCAATATTATAAAGCAGCTGTTTGGATGGTCTGTTGAGGAAATCCCCAAATAAATACAACAGACTATCACGTTAGACGCAGCGATAAGAAATACCAATAAGTACATTTCGAAGTCGGGAGTATGCATCGTTTGAAGGGAAACTAAGCACGTAAAGTATGACTAGGCATTGTTATGATTTGCGTTTTACTTGATGAAAAATTATATTTTGAATGTTAAGCATTATCTCCACTTGCAGTTATAAACCGTAAATGTCAAAACTCTTATCCACTATATACGCTACGATACACCAAGTGAAATTAAATATTAGTTTATTACGTCAAGGCTGTTTTTACTTTATTGTATATGAAATATTCTCTATTTTCGCCCAGGTAGGTTTCCTAGCACCATCGTTTTTCACGTTCCTATTAACCTGCGCTGTGATGTTTCCGAAAAAGGCAACCGATTGCTGCCGACTCAAAAATAGACTAGAAGGCGAAAAATATCGCAACATCTATCTGCAAATCATCAACACAGCCATCGCAGTTGCGTGAAGCCAAAATTGCGACACACAAGCATCGCTGTTAGGCAGTGTTCTGACGTCACTCAGCCTTAAAGCAAGGTACAACGTTTTTGCTTCTTTTATCTGTTGCGTCTATCTCAGTCCGGACGCGAAATACAGTATTCAAAGCTTGCGTTAGTTATAGATTCTTCTCCTTATGCTGTTCCTGCTCGCCGCTAGAGGACCCTGCTAATCATTCCGAACTTACCCAGACAGCCTAGACAGTCTAGGAAGCCAGCTACTGCCGGTGCTATAATGTCACAAGCCGGTCGCCGTAGCCTGTGGAGGTTGATGAAGGTTGCTGCTCTACAGGGCAGCGCACCTTTTTCCCTCGGGAGTGAATCGACTGAGTGCATTGCTTCTTCTGACTCGTTCGCTTCATCGAGAGCATCCCTCAGATCAGAATAGCCCGAATCGCTAACTAAAGCCAGCACACATTCACCGTCTACAGTGTACTAGAGCAAAACCCTCAGCTGGACGCGTTTGCTTTCATAGCCTACAGCCCCGCATGTATAGCAAGCTCAGCGAAAATCGATTTCAACTAACCTTGCTTAACCAGACTTCTTCTGTGCACAACTTTATATCATGAAGCACATGGGTCTTCGATATTGGGAGTCAAAAGGATGCTGCAATTTACGATACTATAACACCATTGCCGAGCTTCTCGCGACGCAGTTTGAAAACGGTCTGGTTACAGCACACATGTGTTTACCAGAATTAGGTAACTGGACGACGTCTGTAACGTGACTGAGTAGATCATCTCAGCATGATAATTACAGCAGTGGTTGTGACCAAGTCGAACAGGCTTTAGCATCGCACGAGACTTATTCTAATATAATACCGCCTAACAGGTCTAATCACATATGATAGCATCCTTTTTGTGCAATAACAATCTTTCTTCTTAATAATGACATTGGGTTATTATTTTTGTTTTTCGGGATCTTTTTGTAACGGTGATATGACCTAAATCGAAAAACAAAACAGCATACCGCTGGTTTTCATTTCTGCTATTGGTAGGTAAAGTAAGCTCCGTACGAATTGATAAAACAATACGCCAACTGTTATTTTGTGGCCTATCCTCCTATAGTGTAAGCATAATAGTGATAAGTCCATAAAATCGTTTAGTGCTTTTCTCACACTATGACACTATTGTAGTAATACCACGATTGCAAATGTTCACATCTCTGGAACTTTGGACCTTTTCAAATTAATCCTGGGTGAATCTCGGTACTTTAAATATTGTATTTAAACCATATTGATAAGTTGATAAGCCATCTCCCTATGATGTTTAACTCCGTTGTGCTAATGAACCTTTGCAAGGCTTCAATGATGACAACGGGTTATCGATTGCTTTCATGTGGCCTAAAGAACAAAATTTGGCTTTTATAAATTTCATGATTAGATTACAACGATACAACATAATAAAGTTTATTGAAATACGTACGAAATATAATTAATCTAAATATTTGGAAGTTACGATTGATGATAGTATTTTCTGTTTGGTTTTACAGTTATAATAATATATTATTCACTTTTTTCAATTTTCTACACAATAATAAAGCAATCATACCTAGTGTAAAGATAACTTATAAGCAACATGGGAAAGTTTTTGTCACCTTCCCGATAAAATCTCAATGCTGAGTATTAATATCTTTGGTGCAGCCACGAGTAGACACAGCAGTACTCAAGAGCTATGACCGAACCGCATTTTACCACTCAGTTGGAGGCCATCCTTCCGATACACTCGCAACATCATCCTACAAAATGTCCGAGCTGATAGATTCAAGGTGTAAAAAAAAGCACTAACGTGAACTGACTTCATAAGGGCACTAATTCTTTTAGATCATCCATCTTTTAGTTAGGAAATGCTTTACATTCAACAGGTTTGTCTCAGTTGTCTAGCAAATGCCTTGACCAAACTTGGCCTGCCTGACCATTGTTCTTTCATCTTAAATGTTTAATCTACTGTTCCCGTAGGGAACAGAGAGTATTGTAGAACCACCGCTAGTCATCAGCGCCAGCCACGTGCCGTACATAGATCATATACGTAAGCATTATAAAGATATGTACAGTACCCCGATACAAATTGACGATGCATCTTATTATTGTTATTATTATTAGTGCTAAAGCGTAGCACGAGAGAGTGTTTTCAGCGCTAACGCTACATTAGAATAGATAGCAATTATATCATAAACAAACATAGACTGAAAAAGTTAACCAATACTTGTGTGTACCAATGCAGGGTGTGTACAGAAAATGTACACATAGTTTGAATGATTATGAATTCAATTTTTATTTACATATAATTAGTATTTAAACTGTAAGAATAAACTCAGCATACTGCAGATGTTTAAATTGTTACCGTTGTAGTTAATACACTGGTGATAGCGGTAAGCTATTGATTCACAAAGTCAGTTGCGGCTTTTAAATCTTTAGTCACGGTGAGCGGGCATGGAATCCTATGAAGTCTTCTAACACATGGGTTTGGATCTTCATCAAGATGTACTCTTACATCGCGATGATAGTGCGCAGATGTTTCGTTTTGTTGGAAGTAAAATTCGCCGCTTCCACTGAAGTCTTTCGGAATGCGTAACAAAGCAGATAAATTCAAATTACTGCAGTTAATTTATGAAATTGGCACCAATCACTATACTATTAAAAAATGGCGCACCTATATTCTAGCGTATATGTTTTTCAAGACACTCTGTATACTAAATTCAAACGGTGACTGTTTTAGTGTTACAGCAGTATAATTATTACAATTTAAAGTTAACTACTTACTGTATACCAGGATCTTGACAAGTCTGCGTTGGAAGAATGTCTATTACTATAATAAATACCGCTAAAAGAAATACGGCTCCATCAATATTTTAGGAACAAAATGGATTTCTGAATTTTCTGGTAAGAACCAGATTATTCAATATTTAATGTGTCTACGTACACATCTATTAAGCCGCAAGATAAAATCAAATAGGTGCACAACGTAGAAAACCGAGGTTAAATCGCAACGAGCAAGAGCAAATACGACGGCAATCCCTTGTGAAGCAATCTCTTGAGGAAAAAGGTGAGTGTTACAAACTTTCTTTATTTTCTGCAATCGACGTAAATGTTATATTTTATAAAAGATGATCCTTCATGTAAGACACCAAAGTAATATTTACATATGCAAGTTAATAACGCAATAATTTCATCTCGCTTAATACAATACAAATACTAAACTTTTTAAAAAACTAATATATATATATATATATATATATATGCACCCTGCTTATTCACTAAGGTTGGTTTAAGATAGACGCTGGTTTATATCGGATGCGCTCGTTTCTTGTCACTTATCCACCATTTGTTTACTTGACTATTGGCAAGCAAGCATTCTCTGCTACAAGTTTGCTAAACATTTCTTTTTTTGCAGAGCTGAATTTTAGTCGGAGTTCAGACTTTAAGACTGAACGTTTTCGGTGCATTTTCGACACTTTCGTACTTGTTACTTATCGTATTTCACTTTTACCGATGTCGAAAATCTACAGAAGCGGCCCGGACATTTCTGCGCTGTGCAGTGCATTTCATGCTTAACAGGGCTTTCCAAAGCTGTTTTGCTAAGGTTAAGGAATTTTTTCAGAGAAGCATTTTGAATTCAAGAGTTTCACCTTACTACGACAGCCCGATTAGATCCATGGGGACCTCTTGAAGGCGCCTTTGAACGAAAACGATCAGCCCACAATTTGTGAATCGCCCGAAAAAATCAACCGCAGTCATGTGACTACCACTCATCACCATGCACTATTGAATTCACCCTCCCCCAAAATTAGGAGTTGGGGGACGAAAACACGCCTTTTTACTGCGGTTCAATACAAGGAGCAAGACGCAGCGAAAACGATAGCCTCCGTCAATATGAAGCAAAGTAAGGAACGGATAGCTCAGCAAGATACGCTAGAGCCCGGAGTATGCAGTGGTCCGTCCCAAAACATCAAGATTTGCATTTGGTAGAATTGCGGGGTCTTATACATTTAAAAAGACTTGAAAA